CTCGCCTGAAAGCAGCATCAGATTACTAGGTCCGACCTTATTTAATAAACGAACAACAGTGGTCCGATCGGTTTGACCGTTTAAACGAAAACGGTCAAGGTGTAACTATAATTTGCACAACGACACTGAATGCCCGATACGCAATACGGAAATGACGACACGGTGTACATGCACATTTCGATCAAGATAATTGAGTCCGAGCTGTACTTTTTCCGGAAGTACGTCACGAAAATGGACGCTGATGACGATGTGTGGAGCCACCTTAACTGCTACAGCACAGATACCGCAACATCCCTCAGAACAATTCATACTTAAAACACATTTTCTGAATATTCCATGCGTACGACGACTACGGCGATCGAACCCCGGCCGCCTGCGTGGAAGACAGTAGTGTTAACCACTCAACCAATCCGCCCATATTAAAACGATTATGATGTTTATGTCAAGTCAATTTTAGCTTTTATCCCCAAGTTAAATATTCCGTAATATTACCGTTTAATAAAACACTGTTTCACTTCAGCTAATCTACGACAGAAGTACTCAAGTTTTGCAGAACAAAATCTCGCAAATTCTCGCCAGCTGACGAATGCAGCCCTCTCGACGAGCAAACCGCTGATCATTGGAGACCTTAATACTGGTCCCGGTGTGCCAGCCTTCAACGTCACTGCCGACTTCGAGGGTAACTCTTACATATCGGTCGGTCACGTGTGATATGTGGGGCTTTTACAAGTGTATGGCCGTAGTAGGGAATATTTACAGTTTAATAATGAAAACCAGGTCCCTCACGAGTGGGATGAATATTGTTATTATTATTCAAAATAAGATAAGTATTCGTAAAATGAGTGAAAGCAAGCAATGTCTGTTGTACAAACAAAATAGCGGAAGTGGTACTTTTTTCAGTGGAAATGTTTTTATTTTCGCGATGAAACCATTTATTTCAATGGGATTTTTTTTGTAATGTAAAAACTTTTTGCTATTGAAACAGTTATGAAAACAGATAATCAATTTATATATAAGAGTTACCTCCCTGACATTTCTTCTTATCAGCAACTAGCTAGGCAACTATGCATTCCATTCATATATTAAACCTGACTATGCAAGTTACAAAGCATTCAATGAGATTTGTTTAATAATCTGGCGTTGAGTTGTTCATTAGTGTCTAATATAAGGAAGCGCCAACATTTTAGAATGTATACTTGTTTGGTAACGAGTATGTGTCTCCATGGGGAAAAAATCGACGATTTCGAACCAACATTTTTCATAAGATCAGTTGGGTAATATGAAAACGGAAGACTTAGATGTATATCATTAATCTCAGAAAAGTGCATATATTAGTAATATACGACCAGTTGAAATATGCAATGCACAATTCAATTAGTAAATCCTACCTTTATAAAATCCGTGTTTTACTTTGTAGATTCCTACAACCATTTCCTGTCAGAGGGATTCACATCGCCTTACGTCACTATGGTGGGACGTTGTACTTTCTGTGTTCAGAATCCTCTAGTTTCGGACTGGGAACAAAATAACCTGATAGATCACGTACTAGTACGAAATCGCACAGTTCTCAGTGCAAAGGTAAGTTATTCCTGTAAAATCATGAAACATATTTCGTCACCTTTGATATGATATTAGTTCGTACCCATGGTTAGTAACTTTAGCTTCTGTGCGTAGCTGGCCAGTTGAATAGTTTCCATGTCTTAATTATAAACTTCAGTATTTTGAATGAGATACACCAGTTTGGTAGGAATAATAAATTAATAATAAATTGTTTTGAACCCAAACATATTTCAAATCTTGTTTGTGTAAAAGAACCAGCATTTTATAAACTCTAGCTATTGTACGCGACAGGATATTTGTATACTTTACCTATTTAAAAACTCCGGTTATTGTACGCAGGAGGATAGTTGTAAAATTTACCTTTTTATAAACTCCTGTTATTGTACGCGGCAGGATAGTTGTATACTTTACCTATTTAAAAACTCCGGTTATTGTACGCGGCAGGATAGTTGTACACTTTACCTATTTAAAACCTCCGGTTATTGTACGCGGCAGGATATTTGTATAATTTACCTATTTTTAACCTCCGGTTATTGTACGCGGGAGGATAGTTGTAAAATTTACCTTTTTATAAACTCCGGTTATTGTAGGCGACATGATAGTTGTATACTTTACCTATTTAAAAACTCCGGTTATTGTACGCGGGAGGATAGTTGTAAAATTTACCTTTTTATAATCTCCGGTTATTGTACGCGGCAGGATATTTGTATAATTTATCTATTTATAATCTCCGGTTATTATACGCGACAGGATAATTGTATGTTTTACCTATTCATAAACTCCGGTTATTGTACTCGGCAGGATAGTTGTATAATTTATCTATTTATAAACTCCGGTTATTATACGCGACAGGATAATTGTATGTTTTACCTATTCATAAACTCTAGCTATTGTAGGCGACATGATAGTTGTATACTTTACCTATTTAAAAACTCCGGTTATTGTACGCGACATGATAGTTGTATACTTTCCCTATTTAAAAACTCCGGTTATTGTTCGCGGGAGGATAGTTGTAAAATTTACATTTTTATAAACTCCGGTTATTGTACGCCTCAGGATAGTTGTATAATTTACCTATGTATAAACTCCGGTTATTGTACGCCGTAGGATAGTTGTATAATTTACCTATTTCTAAACTCCGGTTATTGTACGCCGCAGGATAGTTGTATAACTTACCTATTCATGAACTCCGGTTATTGTACGCGGCAGGATAGTTGTATAATTTATCTATTTATAAACTCCGGTTATTGTACGCGGCAGGATATTTGTATAATTTATCTATTTATAAACTCCGGTTATTGAACGCGGCAGGATAGTTGTATAATTTATCTATTTATAATCTCCGGTTATTATACGCGACAGGATAATTGTATGTTTTACCTATTCATAAACTCTAGCTATTGTAGGCGACATGATAGTTGTATAATTTACCTATTCATGAACTCCGGTTATTGTACGCGTCAGGATAGTTGTATAATTTACCTATTTTTAAACTCCGGTTATTGTACGCGGCAGGATATTTGTATAATTTACCTATTCACGAACTCCGGTTATTGTACACGGCAGGATAGCTGTATAATTTACTTATTTATAAACTCCAGTTATTGTACCCGGCAGGATTTGTATAATTTACCTATTTATAAACTCCGGTTATTGTACGCGGCAGGATAGTTGTATAATTTACCTATTTATAAACTCCGGCTATTGTACGCGGGAGGATAGTTGTATGATTTACCTATTTATAAACTCCGGTTGTCGTACTCGACAGGATAGTTGTATAATTCACCTATTTATAAACTCCGGTTATTGTATGCAGCAGGATAGTTGTATACTTTACCTATTTTTAAACTCCGGTTATTGTACGCGATAGGGAAGTATGATTTATAATTACCTATTTATAAACTCCGGTTACTGTACGCGATAGGGTAGTTGTATACTTGACAATGTACATATCTCAACTTAGAAATATAATAAAACTTCAGCTACCGAACGCGACAGTGAACTTAACATTGGTTTTTAAACCTTATTTTTTCTTTGTATTATCATTTCTTGAACTATATATTGTTTGGTGATACATGTAGCTTGAAAAACACATGTTGTGTTATTTTGCATATTTTTTATTCTTGCTAAAGAATCACGCAATAACTGGCTTAGATCCAACTCCATAAATAGAATAAAACATGTTATGTTAAATGACGTAATATTTTCTCTCGTGTGTTTCGGAAAGCGTACCGCCATAATCGCCTGTTCATTAATATGACAGAAATGCAATGACCTTTTTTACAGTAGGATACATAAGGTCGTTTTAAAACATTTTTTTTTTTTTTTTCAGCGATTATATGTCGAAAATATTCCTGGAACAGATTTTCCGATGTCGGATCATTACGGGGTTGAGGTGGAGGTCGATAACTGAATACCAGAACGAGGCTGGTTGTCACGGAGACTTTTGAAATATCAACAACTTCCTTCCTTATAACCTCAAACAAACTCTCCAGAAAATTTGTTTGTGCAGAAACAGTTTTAAAATAGTTTTACCTGATTAATGTGATATTCAACACCTCGCACTTAACTTAACCCTTCCACCTCTGTAGACCATGATGAACTTATCCAGTTCAATGTATGGTAACGCTTGTTAAAGCTACATAGGGATGAAAGGGTTAAAGGTACTAGACATGTACAATCCTGCGTCTTCATACAATCTAACTTCAGGGCATATTTGTGCAATCCCTTTACCAATTCGTTAACAAAATAATATAGTACATTCTAACACGATTCGTTTGCAACGCGCGTTTTGATTGGATACGGACCATGTTCTAATCTGCGATAGAATCATGATCAATCGTGTTAAGCTCCTCCCATCGCACTTAAGCCACGCCCCGTTTCTAACCAAAACAATATGGCGTCAAGCTCGCCTCATAGCGAAATCCCGCTGATAAGGCTAGTAGGCAACAGAACAGAAACGACCGATGAAATGCATTTGTTGAATGAATTAAAAAGTAAAAAGAACGCATTCCTTGTTCTTACCTCCATTTATTACTGAAACGTTCGTTCCATCCGTGTAAAGGCATCTATTTAGATCCGAAATCAAATCAAACATTTCACATGTGTCGTATGCATTTACACAAAACTCTTCAAAAATCTATACAAATAATCACCGATTTTGTCGATAAGCACCGATTGGTATGCATACTGACATGGAAATGTAAGAACTTGTTCAATATTAATCCGAATGTGTCGTATAAACTTTGGTAACAGGACGTTCACGAACAATCCAAATATTCCGCCTCGTCAACATACAGATCGAGCTCTCGCCAGTATGGGCGGGGCTAAATGACCGACTTTTGAAAGCTTCTTTCCGATTGGTCAGTCCGCTGCAGAATGACACGTCGCCAGTTCAGGTCACAAAGTACTTTTGTACAAGGAAATACAATGTTTCTAAACATATTAGCGCAGTATATTTGTTAAGGTGTGTAAGAATGGGGATAGTACGTAGTTTTTCGTGTCTATACTGGCGATTAGAACATGAAATTTGATTTAAACTCTCGACCTATCGGTCTCGAGTTCAAACCCAAATTTCATGTTCTAATCGCCAGTATAGCCACTCAAAACAACGTACTATCCCCTAAGCACAGAGGAGGTGTGTATGTTAGTGTCGTGTGCAAAATAATCAATAAGTCACGTGATGCGATTAACCGCCTACGCACGCCATTTTATGAATGGGATTTGCCAGATTGATCGATGTTTTGTTAGCCAATGGCAATGTCTACAATTTATAACAGGTGAGTGATTTTTGTATAAACATAACCATATGTGTCAACAACACGTGTTTACCTTTCCTTAAAGTGAAATCAACATGTAAAAATGGTTAAACTGAATAAAAGGAAAAAGTCATTTTTTAGGACGTCGAATGTTTCGGCATTTTCTGAAATTAGTGACCTTACTTTCCTGAATACTACACGTTAACCATGAGCGACTTTTTCACGAACTTTTAATATGCCTTTCTTTGATAATCAAGGCATCGAAAACAATAAAAAGTCGTCTTAAGTCGTCTCTTAATTTTCCACAATACTGGATTGAAAATGTCTAAATTTCACCCCCTTTTAAGATTTTGCCTCGCTGAAGCGATCAACAATAAATAAACATCACACGGTCATAATATGAGTAAAAATCGTTTATTTATTAGCCTGATGGGCATTGACAGTGTAAAGTTGTAGTTTGTTTCTATAAATTTCAATGTTAAACTGTTCAAATAAATATTTTATTCTATTTTACATTGTAGTAAATATACGATCACAGATTAATTTACAATGAAACCACAAGTACTTACTCAGCCAAGAGATAGCAGAAAATGCCTATTCAAAAGTCCAACAGCCACCACAACAGAAAAAGAATTGCCTGGATTTGTTACTCCATTGGTAAGAACTTATTTAAAAACCTGTATTTTCAAATCAGATCGAAGGGAAAAGGGGGTGCCTTGTCCATACCCCTGGTTGAACAAAAATTTGTCACATACATATAGGAAATCTCTGAAACATGACCAGAATGTGCCCACATTTAGCCAGTCTGCGCCCTCACCATATACGAAAAGTTCATGATCAACCTATGATTTCAGAGGAATTTATGTTTAAGTTTGAGATACATTTACAATATATGCATTCTTTTTTCCCTACACTTTTGCTCACTTTTCTTTCATTCAGAACTGAATTTGAAATTTATAACATATGTACAAGAAAGAATTTAATAGTAGCTATTTTAGCATAAATTTAGTAAGTGATTATTACGAGTGGTTCAAACATATTAAGAGTGGTTTTGTGATTTCTGTGCCCACAGGTAATCACAACTTCTCGTAATATCACAAAACCACTCTTAATATGTTTGAACCACTCGTAATAATCACTTACCACCCCTAATCTTATAACACATGGGTTAATCTTATAACACATGTGCTAATGTCATTTAAAAGTCGTAATGGTTACGAGCAAAATGAGTAGAATAAGAGAAAGGTATCTCCTAGTGTATAGGTAGGTAGGCAAACAATTGGAATCTATGGAGTACAATTCAGAATCATGAACTTGGGGATAAACGATCCCTATCGACGTTTAATTTCCTTTCCAAGAAAATGAAATATTTTGTTGAGAAGCAAGAATAAAAAAAATTGGGTGGGGCCTTGTTTCTGGGTAGGTAGGATAAGGACAAACAAACAAAATTTAATTTAGTCCTCAATTGCAGAAACCCTTGTGTTTCATGATTATTTTTATTAGTTAATATTTTTTTTATTTCATTCTATAGGGAACATCTCAGAAGAGAAACAGACGAGTTCTTATCTTTTCACCACTGAAGGGTACTCCTCATAAAAGCCCACTGAAAAAGAAACGTCGGCAGCCAGTATGGACCCAGAAAGAGTTGTGTTCCTTAGTAGAGTTTGTTGCCTTGCACAAGGATTTGCAGTCTTCTTCAAATGAGTGGCCTGCTATGAATGCAGATAATGTATATTGGACAAAAGCAAGTGATTTCATCAAACAGACATGTGGCTCTGTTAGAAGCAGTAAGTACAGTATCATTTGCATGCATTATACGTGAATAATGCATATTGGTATTGTGTTTGTCGCTTTTAAATTTTGTTACTCTGCAAATCTTTAACTAAATGAATGCAATGATTGCGAGGCTCTATAAATGCTTTCTCATTGATTTGGAATGAATATTCATATGCCTTCCCTCCTTTCAGTTTGTTGGGACCAGTGCTAAAAAAGGTGGAGGAAGACCTGTTACTAATTGCCCCCCTATGGACAACACAGTGTTGGTTCCCTCGACTGCTGAGGCTGGTGGTAGCAGAGCCTCGTTTATTACCTGTGAAAAAGGACACTCTAGTAATGCCACAAGACAGACAAATGACACATCCTCTGCTAAGAGAACTGCACCTGACTGCTTTCAGAATATCGGGGAAGCCATCCAAAGCCAGGGAATTTCGTCAAATACAACCAATATTATCCTACAATCATGGCGCGATTCCACGAAACGACAATACAGGACATATCACAAAAAATGGCTGTCATTTTGTGACGGACAACATAGTGATCCGTTTTCTCCAAATGTAAATAGTGTTTTGAAATTCCTNATTGACAGAGTTTTGAAAGTATTAACCATGTCCACAGCTACCTTATTGGGGCTGCTTACCGGTCAACGAGTACAAACACTCCACCTATTGAATATTGAGAACATTCACTTCACCGACAATCTTGTGAAGCTACGCATTGGAGACATTTTGAAACAAACAAGACCAGGATTTCATTTACCTGAAATTGTTTTAGAGAGATACTCTGTTGATAAAAACCTCTGTATTGTGACTTACCTCTCTGCATAAATTGAGAAAACAAAAACATTAAGGGGAAAAGAGGTTAAACTCTTCATCAATTATACAACACCATATCTGGGAGTTTCGAAGGACACCATCAGCAGATGGATAAAGACAATGCTAAAAGACTCTGGTATTGATACTAGTACTTTTAATGCACACAGCATTCACTCAGCATCTACCTCCTTTGCAGCAAAAACTTTACCAATTTCTACAATACTGAGAACTGCAGGGTGGAGCTCTGAATGCGTATTCAGGAAGTTTTACCATAAATCAGTGGTTTGTGACACTTCATTTAGTAACTCAATTCTGAGCTTGTGTAACACATAATTGAAACAAATTTTGGAATCACATGGATGCATGTTATTAGCATATCTAGAGACAGTTAACGTATATGCTATTAGATGTGATCAAAACACCATAATATCTTACTGACAGGATACAATACATGTTAAATACCATGCACAATGTATATAATGTAAATAAATGCGTTGGTTTTCGTTAATTATTCTTCGAAATTGTTATTGTAAGATTTATATAATTAAGGAACAATAGTAATATGCCTCTAAAACTCTCACGTGGTCACTCAGTGACCATATATGGAAGTGTGGAATTGATCAATTAAACGAGATTTATTGATGTTTGATTAAGATTCCACACTTGCATATATGGTACTGAGGGATTACGTGCCCACCCTGTACGTATTATTATGCATGAATGGTAATATATATTAACAAAACATTGCATCTTACTATTGTTGCTTTCAAGACTGACCACTCGCACGACTGTGTCATTTGAAAAAAGTTGTCTTTATTATGATTATGTATTCCATGTGCATTTGTAAATATTTAATTACACATCACAGTAATTTTTGTATTTATACATATGTACATTTACATATGACAATTAAATATTTACAAATCTGCATTATAAACATTATTGTCTGAATCTGGAAGCCATTTCCCTTTCTTGCAGATAATGATGGATCCCTTCAGTTTTCTCGAACTAATGTTTCTGAAGTACCACGATGTGACGGACTTCATAGATGTCTTCACTATTTCTCTCGATTTCATAGCCTTTGTTACCTTTGGTATCTTTTTTACACCTATATAGCCAAGCTTAAGGTCCTTGCTATTGACAGTAACATTAACACTTATAGCATTTTTGTGTTTTGGATTGTCTTCTTCTGACAAAAGTCTGACTGGCACAAATGGACATTGTCTTAGGGCACTCTGCACATCTTTTAAATTTTGCTGGTAATGTTCCCCGTATGTTGATCCTCTTATCTGAATCATAGAAGTGTAATGTTCATCCTCATCACTATTTGGTTCCGAACTACTTTGGTCGTCATCCTCATCACTGTCACTGCCCAAGTCAGTAAGTTCAGTTCTTGAAATGGCATTATTTTCAATTTGCACAAAGATGCTTCCTCCACCAAGACATGAACATTGTTGAACTTGATCTAGAAAGTTCAGATTGTGAACAGGCATACCGGGTAGATCTAGAGCATTGATATGATCCGGTCTCCCTTGGAAAGTTGCTCCTGGAACAATGGCAAATGACCATACTAGTACAGCCCAAGACTCCCTTCCAATGCTAAAATTACCACTGACTGCATCTTTGTCAAACTAAAACAAAAGGAAAATATTATATAACACACAAAGAGAACTTCGTCATAGAACACCATAAAATAGGTATATGTATAAAACACAATTGCAATACATGCACAAATGTACATGGTGTCTGTTTGCACTGTTTGAAGACCCAATTTGTTTATTTGAGAAGTTTTAGTTGATTGTAGTTGAAAGAAATCATCGGTTTTCAAAAAAAAAAAAATATTTCCCAATAATTCGCTTCGTTTTTTCTTGGATTTGACTTTGTAAGAAAAACAAAAATACCTTAAAAATTACAAGAATTGTTGACTAGTAGCAAGGCTGGTGACGTTTTGTTGGCGAATGTTGACTCCAGTAACTCGTCGTCGGCGAACAGGATGCAACGTCTAACAGCAGTCTTGTTTGCTGGCGCTACGTGTCCTACACGAACTTTTACTTTTATACTTGGACAGTCTCTCATTTGTACAGTGTAGACTTTCTTATTGATACAGAAAAGCCAAATTCCAGAGGAATCTAACCAAGAGCTTGTTGATGTTGACACTTCGACCGCCATTTTTGAACTGACAAACCGACATCCGGCGATCGGTAATATAGTCTGTATTTGCGTGCCGTGTGCAAAACGAAACACCTCCTCTGCCCTAAGCATATCCTATTTTTTCTGATGCCTCTGAACGGCCGTATCACATATGTCAGTGGGGTTATTCTGGCCTTTTACCTCCCCAATTGCCTGTATTCGTGTATATCACAACCTGTAACCCGGACCTATACAAACTATTTCGCACCTTTTGGCCGTCATTGGATATACTCACATCTCTGAAACGGGATCGTCTCACAAGCACTTGCCAAAATTGTAACTAAATTTAGATCTTGAAATAAACAGATATATACTGCCTCAGGGATTTCCTTGTTAACTTGTTTCTGAACCTTTTCTTTAGATTGGGAAGGAAGGATTGAATACAGGTTCATTTAGCACAGCCAGTAATGTTTATGTGTGACGTTTCGCTAACAAGTACGGCCTGTACTCTGTCACCTTCATCAGATAAATTGTGGGGGTGCATATCGTGCTTGTCATCGGAACCTCACGCGAATATTGCACTGGTTGTGCTATGGGAACACGTGTACTCAATACTTTTTAATTTGTTAGGTTGCAACTTTACTTTTTATGTTTAATAAATACATTCAGTGGTAAAATAGACTTGTAAACTCACTATGGTTAACACTTCACGTAATATTTTCAAACTATTTTTAAGTTCTTGTGATTTATATGTAGGACAGTACCGAATCGGAATGCAACTCGATACATTATATCGCCAAAATGCCATAAAGTCTGACAATTGTAAGCAATGGATTATTACAATGTACATAACTAATATCTTTGCCTATTGAAACATATGACCGACTACTAAGTCCTAATCGTTCGTGAAAACCAGCAATTGATTCGACTTTTGTGTGATGTTATCTTCACAAGTTTCTGACACACCATGTAAAGTCATTATCGTAAACTTTTCTTTAAAAACCAAAACCGAAACCTAGACGAGAAATTTACCGAAAACGATAGGGTGACACCGACTTAGATCACCACAAAAACGCAAGCATATATAGCGTGTCCTGATTAGTCATCAAATGAACGTATCGACATATCTTTCTAGTAACACAGGTGTATCATTACGCCTCAAGTTTATGAAATATGAAGAAAAGGGCTCAGAACATTGCTTAGCCTACTCATAAATACCTCAACCTTATAATAGTCATCAGCCTTTTTGACTGTGATGATCTAACACGGTCAGGAAAAACCTGCTCAAAAACTTGAAACTTATGTAGGACGCCGACCTGACTTCAACAACCTCCCCCTTCTATTCTCCGAATAGGCGAGTTAATAATAAATAGAAGTACACTAATAAACGGATGAGTATGCAAACTAAGGGGACAGAAAGAACAAAATAATTAACCATGATGGTCGCCATACATCTATGTCTTATATCGGGAGAAACCAACCCTCTTGCGAAATTTGAGAAAGGTCGGTCTTTGAGAGAAATGACGATAACAACCTTTAACAGTCAACATTCAAAATGGCCGCCCTTTAGTCATCTTTCCAACAGTTCAGTCTGAAAACTAAATATGCATTAGTAAGGACCAAGTGAAACAACTTACGAAATAATAAAGATTCGCCTGTTACAGTATTGCTTAATAAAAAAAAACGGAATTACAAGAAACCAATGAAGGGCTGACGACTGACTGACTACGGACGAAAGGCGATTTGAATAATCTAGATGGAGGGTTAATATAAAAAGCTTGACGCAACGAAGTCAGTCTTTGGATACGCGAGGGAGACATAGAAAAGTCTGAAATATTCATATTTTCTGGTAAACCACAAGGATGTCTGGAGGTTTGAGTTGAGATACTGGAGTTGAACATGTACAACGTAATTTACAAAATATATCAAACGCTACAACTTGTTTCCTTCATTCGAATTCAGATTTTTATGTTTTTTTATACATTCGCAAACTCGTCATATTCGCCATGCAATAGTAAGTTGGTGTGTTTTTGTAAAGTTATGTATTGCACACCCGACACATCAATGACCCTATGCTAGACGCCGTGATACAGGTAAACGACAATTTATCAGCGTTTTACCACCATAGCGTCATTGATGTAAACATTTGTACGTGTCTATGTGAATCTATTAGCTTCAGTGTATGACACAAAACGTACCTACTCTGTCAATACTCTCCACATTTCAATTTCTTACACATGGATGAAGAACCGTTACATGTAAATGTATGTTAAGACTTAACTCACGATAACGTGTAGTGGGATACGGAAGGTTACGATAACATGTAGTGGGATACACAAGGTTACGATAACGTGTAGATGGATACGGAAGGTTACGATAACGTGTAGTGGGATACAGAAGGTTACGATAACGTGTAGTGGGATACTGAAGGTTACTATAACGTGTAGTGGGATACGGAAGGTTACGATGACGTGTAGTGGGATACGGGTCAATACTCTCCACATTTCAATTTCTTACACATGGATGAAGAACCGTTACACGTAAATGTATGTTAAGACTTAACTCACGATAACTTGTAGTGGGATACGGAAGGTTACGATAACATGTAGGGGGATACACAAGGTTACGA